GGGGGGTTAGACCTGGTTGGGGAGTGGTGGTTGATAGGTGCCCAGATGCAGCTCTGCGGACACGGATTGGGGACAAGACAAAGAATGGGAACAAAAGTGGTGGTCAGGAGCTCGAAACTATAAATAGTGACAATGGTTGGGAGTGTTGGGTGATGGGTGCCAGATGTTGCTCTAGAGCCAGAATTTGGTACCGGGTAGGGAAGGGGGACAAGGGTACTAGTCAGGAGTTCGAGACAAAAATTGGAGACAGTAGTAAAAAGAAAGAGACAACACAGCAGCACAAAGAAAAGTAAATTAAAGCAAACCTGAACTTAAGAAAAAAGCGAAAGCAAAAAATCGGAGCCCCTAAATAAAAGAGAAAAAGCAAAAGCAAATAAAAACTGAGCTTAGCGAGTGGAAACTGTTTTTACAAAAACCCATTATCAGTAGGGAAAGCATAAAGCTAAATGCATATGTGACAATTTCAAATTTCATTTTCTGTGTGTTTTGCTGTGTAACAGTTGCATAAAATACATACTGCCAAGTCATTGTCTGTGTGTTTGTGAGTGCGTGTGTGTGTGTGTATGTGTGTTTGAGTGTGTGTCCGAATGCATTTTGTCCTCACTTTTTAACTTGGGAACCAGAATAGCTGGAAATCTGAAATTTTGGGTCTAAATTTCACGAGTAATGTAGGTGCATTTGCGGCGAAGTTAGCTTGGACATTGTCGACAAATGCCGTAGTAGGGCACCACTACTGACTGAGCTTTAGTAACTACATGTTCGGATACAGTATAAGCAAGGACAAAAATAGTGGTAATAATAATAGTGATAACAATAGTAATAATAGTAATAATGGTAATATTGATAATAATAATGGTGAAAGTAACCAAGGTTGTGAGCACTAGGCTCGCCGTTACAAACATATGTTTTTGCGCTAAATTTGAAGTAGTCAGTTCGTCAAAAAACGAACAAAATCTGTGTACTCATGTTGGCGGTGTTTTCGCTTTTCTTGCATGGATAACCTACACTAAATCAGCTTTGTCCGTTGCTGAATTGAAAATTGGTGAAAAATTTTACCCATTTTTCGCAACACCAATATACATGCACACACAGACTCTCGACAATATGCGTTTCCGCATTTGCACAAAATACAAAAACGCTCGAAAATGAGAATAATGACAGCGATAAAATTACCATTCTTAAAATCGTTATTTTTAATATTAACAATAGCAACAAAAAAATAGTACTATGAACATAGTTTTCTCGAACAATTAAGCATAAGCAAGGCATTTATAAGAAAACAAAGATCAACCTGATTACAATGAAAACGTATGACGAACTTAAAACCTGAAAAAACTATTAGATTTTTAAGAAATGAAAGAAAAAAACACCGGAATGCTACAGATAGGAAGAAATTTTACAAAATAAATCAAAATTAATTCATAAATCTTTATGACTTACAATCTTAGGGGTGCTTACGCCCAACGTGAGTTGATATTGGATTAGTCATCACTTTCTTTCCAAGTAACCATTGACAGCCCCGTCAGTCTCCTCTTCTGTTGGCATTTTGCTACCGACGGGTTTTTTCTGGGCATTTGTGCCTCTCGTGGCGATCACGAAAGGATTTTTACTTATCATCTAAAAATTAAGCTTAAGTATGTAGCTTATTTTTTCGGAAAATTAAAAGGTGGAATAAATAAAAAAAACATGGAAAACTTCAAGAGAAGAACTGAATTTCACCATACAAGTGTCACCAAAACAAACAAAAAAAAACCGAATCATGAGAAGTAGAACAATCAAATTTTGGACGAAGAACGACTGACCTTTCAAGCATAAAACAGACACAAAACTGAGCCGAAGAAAATGAAAAAAGAAATTTCCAAACGTTCCCACTTATTAGAATGCGACTTTTTGGCTTTTCCAGAAAGTATTTGGAATTTTTTAATTTTCTCCAAAATACCTGTTCTACTTTTAAAATACTGGAAATTTCCCTGCTCAGACCTCATCTTGTTTCATGAATCGCATAGCAACGTCAGGAACGAGGTGCTGATGCCAAATATATAAACAATGAAATCTAGAAACAGTTAAAATCTTGTCAAAGTACGTTTACCGTGAGAACTGGCAACCTCTTCAGGAGATGAAATGGACGTTAGGGTTTCCACCAATCTGACCATCAGGCAGTTCAGCACTGGACAAAGTAAATGAAAAAGTTGCCAACTGCCCTATTAGAAAGTCAACTATCAAATTTAGCTGATCAAAACATCAGAAATCATAAAAACAAAACAAAAACATCAAAGTACATATCACAAAATCATGAAAACATTATGTATCATGAAACTGTTGCTCGAAAATCTGTAAAAAAAGAAAAAAATTTTTGGATTCACAAATTTTGGAGTCCTCAATATG